GTATGAGACAAGGGGCACAGGGACATATACTATGACCTTAACTTTAACAAAAGTTACAACATTCTTTCAAACCAAGGAAATCAGAAGCATGAGGAAATACATCTGGGCATACAAGTATCATAAATCTACCAAAGTGTGATGAAGATAAAAAGATTCAAGTGATAAACTTTGCACTATTGTCAAAAGCCTTCATCCTAAAATTTAAAAATTTATTCTAAAAAGTCATGACCATGCAACAAGACCTTGAAGTAAGAATATTCATAAGCATAAGCATTCAGTAGCATAAGTCCCTGAAAGTACTGCAGGTATAAAATAATCTGACATGTATATGACATAAAATGTAATATAAATAATATGCATGTATAAAATACTTAATATACTGAGCATTGTAAGTCAGTGTGTCTTGGGGTCCCATAGGTGTTACAATTTTGTTACAGGAGAGTGATTTTCAAGTGAGGTATTTTGAAAAAGTAAACCATCCCAGTAACTATAAGGGAATTCATTTTGAATTGAATAATTTCTAAGTATTGTAGGAAGTTCTTAAGATTCAATCTTGACACAGATTATAAACAAAATTTCAACACATTATAGATATGCAGAGCATGGAAGCTGTAGTTAACACTCTGAACAACAACCTGTGACTGAAAGGTGGAATTAAAATCTGTAGTCTTACTAAAATACAAAATGAATGGGAAAACAAGCATTTGGGTCTGCTAGGTAACTCCACATGCCAGGTTTGCCTAGGTCGCAGCTTCCTACACTGTGGCATTAAGGAATCTGGGAATGTGGGGGGTCACAAAATGTCTAGTAATCATAAAAGTTTTCTGAACACCCAGTAACTCTGCCCCTCCACCCACCCACACAATCAAAGTCAACTCGTAGTAGAGCACAGACAGGTGTCTCTGGCATCACTTGCCCAAATGACATCTCATGATATCACTGCCGCCATGCTTCGGAACACACAAGAGGCCTGCTTAGTACTCCACATGTCTTCGCTCCACGCAACAAGAGATTTCAAATGCCTCCTGTTGAATTCAAGACTGTTGTATGTTTACACAGGGTTTTACTGTCCATATAATTTTTCAACTATCATAAAACATAATGGTTTAATTATAAAAAAGCCTTAATATTTTCCTACTATCTGCCCTACACATGAAAATATTAAAGTAGGGTAGCATTGCACTATATATTATTAGAATGTTTGATTTTAAAAATAACTGAATTACAGACAAATTTCATCAAAATGTTAAAGGAATTTGGGGTTGGGAAAAGTTTCCAGTAATTTCTAAAGTGGGCCTAAACATTCTTTTTCATTCTGCACTATGTATTTGTGCAAAGCGGTGCTATGAGTATTGAAGTTTAAGGAATCAGCCTATGATCAATTCTGGAAGACACTGAAGGTGCCCCATGCAGCAATCTCATCCAAGCACATTATTTACACATGCAACAATAAACAAGCACACCTATCGTTAGGATACAGACTGCTTTTCTTAATGTAGAATCATGCTTATTACAAAAATTCTTTAAATTGTCTTTTAATATTAATTATCAGTGAAATCTGATCTGCATTCCAATTTTATATACACACACATCCTGCATTCAGTACTATTTCCTTGGGCAAAAGTGGCTACAAGCAGAAAAAGCTCTTGCTCTTGACTTTACTGGCCATCCTGGCCCATTTCTATATTCTTAAGAAAAACATAATAAATGTTTTTCTAGTTTTAACCCCATGTGTGTGTGGTGGTGGTGGGGGCAGAAGTACATGAAAATAATTTGGTAGTAAAAGAATAATCCAATGTGAAGCTCTACCACTCCTATTATAAATGGACACTCTAATTGTATAGAAGCTCACTGAGTGTACCTTTGGGTCTGGTTAATTTTGGTATGTGGATTTTTTTCTACTTGTAATTTTTTAATCATGAAGTTTAAAATAAATTAAATAATATTAAAAATCTATAGTCATCCTACCAAGTAGCATGGGGGAAAACAATTGGGAACATACTTAATAGGTAAGTTATTCTGAAGACAATTAACATTATTAATAAACTGGCTTCCCCCATTCATGAAAATGTTGCTATGTATCCTGACTCACTTGTATCTTATATTTTAAAAAATGTTTTATCAGATGAGAATAAAATTGTGTGGTGGAAATTTTACCAAACACACCCAAAGCCTGAGGCTCAGGAATATAAGAAAAATGTTTTATGGCACTTATGGCAAATGTTTTAGTTTTTTTTTTTTATGGAAATATCTGGATATTTGGGATCCTGGGTGCTATTACAAATGATATCATCTTTTCAGAAAAGATATATTTATTTTGTAGTGTGTATATGTGTATGTGTGTCTGCATGTGTGTATGTGTATGTCTGAGTATATGTGTGCACAGAGAGGAGACAAATATGTACAGGGCTTGAGCATGAGAACAAGGGCTAGCCATGAGAGCTAGGACATTTGTGACCTCTAGACAGTCCCTCCACTCCATCATGTACCTGCCATTTGCCCCACTGTATTGCAATCTGGTTTCTTCTTCCCAAATCCTGCCCACATTGGAGCTTGAAATACTTTTTATTTATATTTCTCAGAGGTTCAACCTCAAGACAAATGCCCCCAGTCTTTCATTTCTTTAAATATATACTGAGTAGTCACTGTGTTGCAGGCACAGCCAGAGGTCTTAGGAGAATGTGCAAACCCTGAACTGGCCTGGCACAAGTAGAGTGCCCAATATCTAGACTATAGGGTCCACAGAGACCATATAGACATCCTCACTGTGTGTGTAAGCTAATGTCTACAAGGACCCTATAAGGCAGGCTCATTAATAATTAACTCATGAATGAAGATGTAGCTTCCAGCTGAGGAGTTTCTGATCACAGCCACACAGTGTGCTGAGTCTGCATCCCGACAGCCTGAGCTTCCTTATTCCCACTGCTTTGAGGAGGCCCACAGTAAAGACTTGGCTATCCAAGCAATGGCCATAGACAGCTTCCCCACAGTAAGCTCTTTTGTTGTGTCATGATTTCTCTTAAGCTGTAGTGAATAAACATTACAGATTTGAACTATGTTTGTTACAAATGTGTACCACTTCTATCAATCTATGTGGAGCTTTGTACATCATCTTATTTGATACATTTCTAACACTTAAAATAACCCAAGCACCACAGCTCTGAAGGACTGCTGATATAGAAAGGTAGTAACAAAGTGTTTAAGATGAGAATGAAAATTTATACTCAAATTCCTCCTTCAAAATAAGAACAAAGCTTTATGGTATAAACAAAAGCACGGTGTAATAAGGAAAAGTTTTTTTTAACATATTCTGTGTTAATCCTTTGTAACACAAGTATGGTATAAGCTGTGCAATAACTAATTTTTTTTAACAGACTCCATATTCATAAGGAAATTAGAATTTCTAGGGCTACCTCTAGGTCACCATTTCCTCAAACTTCCAAGAAATACCACTCTAGTGTTGTGTGTAGACAGAGCCCATAAAATGTTGAATGATTAAATAATTAATGAATGAAATATATCTGTAATATCTCTATCTATTCAATGACCTTTCACATAAAAATTAATGAAATAACATGGTTGATAATAGAGATTGTGGCAATATATTTGCCAAATGCACAGTTACCTTCGCAGTCAAACAAAAATCTGCTTTAGAAGAAATCACCATGTTCAATACACATATTCTAATACTTAATAGAACCTGGTGTTTCTGTATTGTGGTATAAGAGGTATGTGGCAGTCAGAGAGAAAGCTCCAGTGCCAGGGTGAAACCCTTCGCTAACACTGGTACCACTCAGCTGCCTATAGTCCATCAAATAACAGGTTGCAGCAGAGGTCAAGCTCACGTTCCTGCTCTCTCTCAGGGAGCCTGAGCTGGCAATATTTCCCATTCTGCTGTCACCATGCCTCTGTGTCACTATAGACCCCAGGAAGGAGACTGAGAAGCCATGGCCTCCAACATGCATTCAGCACTGAGATACAACTGCTACCTCCTCTCAGAATATGTACCATGCAACACCTCTTATTGCACAGCTGAGATTTGGGACAAGATCTGGGTCCAGAGATGTCCTTTTCTACACTCTCCTAAGGCATCCTTACTTACCTCTCCAATCAATGTTATAACTGTTTCTCAAGACTCAATCACTAGTGGTGCAATTACACCATAAAGGCAGAAAGCATTTCTTCCACCATCTTCACTGTCACACAAAAGCTTTTGCTCAAAGTCAAGGTCTTACCATACACTTGCTGAATAGTGGATTGCTTAGAATAGACCCTAAATGAGAGCGATGAAGTAAGTGCCGAAAACATGGGAAAAGAAAGGATTATAAAACCTAAGCACTAGAACTGTAAAAACAGAATATAGCTGGTTGTGGTGGCGCACACCATAGGATTTGCTGAAGCAGGCACAGGCAGGAGAATCATGAGTTCCAGGCCAGACTGGCTACACATTTTTAGCTGGGCGTTGGTGGCGCACGCCTTTAATCCCAACACTCGGGAGGCAGAGGCAGGTAGATCTCTGTGAGTTCCAGGCCAGCCTGATCTCCAGAGTGACTGCCAGGATAGGCTTCATAGCTACACAGAGAAACCCTGTCTCGAAAAACAAAACAAAACAAAACTGAAATATATATATATATAATTCATCATGTGGAAGCACACTATATCATTGTGTCCACACACAGGCTATGTAACCCTCTATGTAAATAAGGCCTATGCTATAGCATCAGTGTAGTTGGCCAATTGCAATGAAGAGTCTAGAGATGAATGAAGGAGGCTCTTTAGTGGAAGGAAATGGCTACAATAAGGAAATCTATCACACACGCTTACCAAGTTTTACAGTGACACTAAGACTGTTCTGAAAAACTGTTTTAAAACTTGACTGAGACCAGGAATTGCATACCTTGCCTAACGTGCACCGCCCACTAAATTACACTAAAGCAGACCGGAAGAGCTGAGTTGTGCCACATTCCAATTGACTATGGCGTCGCATCTGACCTTATTACCTGTAGTCACACCAAGGGCACCTGTAGGGCTTCTCTCCAGTGTGCACACGCTTATGACGAGTCAAGTGTGACTGTGTCGTAGAGGCAAAGTTACACTCGTCACATTTGAAAGGCTTTTCTCCTGTAACAAGAAATGAACACATAAATAGTAATTGACATGATATATTCAAGCTTAGTACTAACATAGAAAAAGTATGTATGTATAAAATATTACAAATATTATTCAGTAGATTCCAGAAATTTATGCTTGAAAGCTAGAAGGTACTACTTTTTTTAAATTGGCTACTAGCAAGGTATGAACAAGTCTGTACAAACAAGACTCTAGGTTATCAGTATAGGCCAGGATACTGGAATAATTTTATAAACCATGCTACATGAGAGCAATTTCAAAAATCTCAGTGAGGTTAAAAACATGGCCAATCATACAACAGACATACAGTTGAATATAAGATGTAAAAATAAATTCCTAGCATTAACTATAAAGAAAAGTGAAGCGAAGCCATTACTTGGATAAGTGCTAGAAGTAAAAGGAATTATAACTACAGGGTAGAAGGTACGGAGCCTCAAAAGAATAAATGATGTAATGTTAATCCCATGGTAAAATGTACCCATCCTGTATAGACAGGGTCAAAGTGGACAAAAGTGGAGCCTCAGGGCTTGCCTGTGACAAAGCCTGGAGCTCATCCAACTGGTGCCCCCTTTTACCTACTTTTCCCATTTCACTTGCTACACTGGTTGGTGAGCAACTGACCTAAGGCTACTTAATTTCAATTAATATAAACTCAAAATCGAAACCTAATACAATACAACCACTGGAAAAAATGTCTTAGTATGGTTGGAATAGCTTAGAAATGTGAACCTATGTTTTTAAGTACAACTTTTATCAAAACTCAATATAGATCATATACTTTGGATGCAACAATGCTCTGAATTGAAATGTGCTAGAAGCATAAAATGCATGCCAAATATCAAAGTCTTAGTACAAAGAGTAAAATAAGGCTAATAATGCCATAATAACTTTACTTACAAATGATAATCTTGATATTGCTGGTTAAGTTAATAATTACAAGAATCATTTTACCTCTGACTTTCCCCTAGGAAATCCAGAAAACACATGTATCCTATTACATTTTTCCTGATAGTGGTGGAAAGGGAACACCTCACCTTTTCCTCATGCAAGTAATGTTTGCAATAGATTCTTTACTGAGCAATTTTACATCTACAAGACACCAACTGTGTATTTCAACAAGCCCACTCCCACTCGGTACTTCTTATTTTCTAGCTTTTCATAACAGTACTCTACATACTCTGATCTATCTAAAACCAAAAGAAAGTATCTTCCTCTGTGTGTGTGTGTGTGTGTGTGTGTGTGTGTGTGTGTGTGTGTGTGTGTGTGTGTGTGTGTGTGTGAGAGA